TATTCTGGAGGCATCCTTCCCCAGCACACCCAGAAAGGAGAGCCTCTTTGTCTAAATACAGCACCAGTGGTACCCATTGTACAAACATTGCAAACACTTTATAGCCCACTCATTACCTGCCAGAATAGGTCTGTCAGAAGGATCCTGAGCTAACGGGTACCTTAGTTCATTTACAGGACAGCAAAATCAATCAATCAATCAATGTTTGTTATTTATACACATTCCACATCTGCTTGGTCATGGAGGAATCCCATTTGCCGGTCTTCCCATACATAAGAGAACCACATTATCTCTCAGTAGAAGTAACAAGCTCCAACAGTGCACATAGCATACGTGTATTAACCTGGTTCTGATATGTGGATTCCTCAGTGCTTTTGTACTAATGGGAGCCAGGAGCTCACCTGTTCGACGGCTCACACAAAGGCGCTGGCCGCACTGAGAGCACAGGGCCCCGGACGGCAGGGTGGCCAGTGTGTCTCGGGGGCGCCCTGTCCCCACCCCTCCCCCCAGTGTCACCAACGGACAGCTGTAAGACTGCACTCTCACTTTTCTACACACTAACACTTTAACATGAGAGCGGTAACAGTTGACCTTGATCCCTAAAAAGGAGCCATATTAAAATAGAACCTAATGTGAGGATCTTCCTCTGAATGTCACAGGGAAAATGCTGTGCCTGCCTCAGCAGGCCCTGCTAATAGCTCCCGAGGACCCGTGTGCACCCTGCTCCTTGACACACGGCCTGTTCTCCTGGCCAGAGCAGCCTCCCCCAGCCCCAGTACCCCTTACCTCAGAACAAAGCGGCTCTGGGAGGTCGGGAAGGGCTGGCTGGATGCGGCTATCAGACAGATGGCCACCCTCCTTGTCTAGAGAAGATGAAATGCTAAAGGAGAAAAATCAGAGTGGGTTTTGTCCTAACCAAAGGAGGCTACAAATCCCATTGGCCTCAGGTTGGAAACCTCGTGACATGGGACCGGGCACATGTGACCTACTTTTCGCCCAACTCCCCTCATTCCGTTGGAGGGGTGCACCCGGCACGGATGTGCTGTCATTTCAATGACTCCTTCCCCCAAACAGGGGCCAGCGCACACATGGGCATGCCTGCAGGACACAGGCTGCAGCAGCTCAGCCCTCGGAAAGGAAAGTGCGGGTGGGCCCCAATGATGGAAACGCAGCTCCTAGGGCCTGAGCAGTCACTGCTGCTGTCAGCTGTCTGTGCAGTCGGGCCTCGCACAAAGCTGGTCCTGTTGATGTACTTGGTCCTGAAGCTGCAGGATGAGGCGCTTGAAGCAGCACCAATTGCAAATTCTCTCCTTTTCCCACATTTTTTTTTTTTTTTGGTGATCTAGAGCTGCTAGGTCCAGGCCTAGAAGCAAACCGCACACTTAAGCTTCGAAACGCGTGAGCACTGTGTGTCCTTGACAGCCATCCTGATGCAGGGCTCTGGTATGGGCAGTGCTGACCGGAGGGCTGACAGGGCCCCGTGAGAGGTGGTGGGGAAGGCACGTCTGCCACTGAGCAGGAGAAAGTCGCCCTCAGTCCACCTTCTACTTGGCACTGTTAGCTCACCAGCTCACATGAAATCAGATGCAGACAAACGATAAAAACCCGTAACAGGCAGAGGTGAACACGTAGATGCAGAGAAGAATCGCTGCCCGTGAGGACAGGCTCTGGCTTTCTGGAGTCAGCAAAGGGGCACAGAAAGTGGGGGCATGCAGGCCCTACTGACCAAAGTTAGCCTGATTGTTCATTACAGGAAAAAATTTAAAATAGCACAAATATTGGATGCTCATTACAGAAAAAAATAGAAAATGCATTTATGCAAAAAATAACCTGTAATATCGTTACTCAGAAAGACCACCAGTGATAGTGGGGTATTTTAAGGTCCACCTAGTCACTTTTGTCTAAGAGGTGTGTGTCATTATATTTTTTAACAAAAATAGGACCAAACCGCCCACATTTGTCCTGTTTTCCTCATTTAACATTATGTATGAAATATTTTTCTATGTCAACATATTTAAATCTACATAACAATGATCAAATTCTCCATGGTATTTTTCTATTCTTATGCATAAAATTTTATGCATTTTTATGTAGAAAAATGTAACCAATCTGTAATGCTTATATTTCCAGGTTTTTGAGTTGTTACATATATTTTAAAGATTTTATTTATTTGAGAGAGAGAGCATGAGCCAGGGGAGGGGGCAGAGGGAGAGGGAGAAGCAGGCTCCCCGCTGAGCAGGGAGCCCGATGTGGGACTCCATCCAAGGACCCTGGGATCATGACCTGAGCCGAAGGCAGACGCTTTACTAACGGAGCCAGCCAGGCACCCTGAGTGCTTACATCAAAGAATGCTTCCACAGTCCTCTTTGGGGTGGACCTCTTCTGCCCCTCTCTTGTTCCCTCGGAGTACACATTTACAGATATCATTCCTGGGTGGAAGGATACACATGCTTGAAGCTCGGCACAAAGTGACAAACTGGCTCAGTCAGTGACACTGCGTCATGAGGGCTGCTCCCTGTGCGTCCTGCAGCCTGGGCAGCTCTGTCCTCAGTGTCCAACTGAGCCCTGAGTCCCAGGGACGTCAGCCGCTAGTGGCCGAGCAAGCAGGAGGGTGCTGCGAGCCGGCCTGCAGACAGCCCTGCCATGTGTCTGGCCCCACCGGCTACTTCCCACCTTGCAGCAGGTGTCTGTGGAGGATCCATCCTCACTCTTGGAAAGATGAGGGAAGGAGCAGCATGGCTTGCTCTGGGTCATAAAGCTTGGGCCATGGAAACTCGGCTCTTGCCCATGGGGCGGCCGACAGCATCAAGTGCAGCTGAGGGCCTGGGGAGGACCGGACGCTGGCTGGTGGGTCTGGCCAGCGCAGGCCTCGGCCCTCGACAGGCAGGTCTGGTGCAAGGTAAGCAAGTGGTGACAGCAAGGCTAGCCATCCAGGGGGTTACCAGAAGCAGATGAACTGCCACGGGGCACGCCAGCCTGTTTCGTGCAGGTGGGAAGCAGAGAGAGCCTAGATGGAAAGGAAGTGGTATGAAGGACGGACATGAAGGACCAGAGTCACAAGCCAAAGGGTAGTGGCTGAGGGTGTGGGGGCCACAAAAGAGAAGAGGGGGTGCAGCCCGGAGGTCCAGAGAAATCAAGGGATGGGGGCACCCTGGGTGTCAGGGGCAGCCAAGAGAAACCAGGCCAGGTGAGAACTGAGGATGTGACCTTGGGCAGTTTCAGGGTAGAGGGTGCATTACAAATGGGGTGGGGGGATCCCCTCCTGCAAGCACCATACCACCCAGGGGTTGGCCAGCTGGGGGCACTCAGGGGCTTCAGGGTCATCGGGACGTGTGTCAGGCTCAGATGGCCGTGGGTTTCCCGTTCTCATGGGTTCCACCCATTGCTTCTGCAGCCATGTCCCATGCCCGACATGGGGTCAGGTGCCCAGACCATCGAGCACATGGGTACCTGGCAAATGCATCCAGGAAGAGGGCAGGCTAATGAGCAGTGCAGGGCTCCCCAGCATGCATCCACCTGGATTGGAAAAGAGGCAGAAAGCCCTGTGTGGGGTTCCCTTGGCTCCCCGCTTTGGTGAGCTGCAGCTGGGCCTGGGCTCCAGGGGGGCCTGAAGAACCCCGGTCAGCCCCGGCTCTGGTTTACATAGCTGGCCTCACTCCTGACCACAGCCTGGGACGGGCCAGTCATGACAAAGGAGGCTTCCCATTTGGCTCCCATCCAAGTCCAGCAGAGTTCAATCCACTGTGACCAGTCATGGACATTCAGCCCAAACAGACACCTGGAAGTTGAAATGGTTTTAACCATCCTCAATGGGAAGAACAAAGAAAAGAGCAAAACAACACAGGCCACAGGCTTACGGAACTGGGTCAAGCACCATAGGATTAAAATGCTGAGCTGCAATTAACAAACCAACCAACCCAGACGGACAGTATGTGGGCAGAAGAGAAGCTGCTACTGAGAACAATGAAGACATCTGGAAAGGCAGTGAGGAGCCCAGTGTCCCTTACTATTAAGTTTTGTGACTTTTAAAAGATGCACATGTTTCTTTGACAGCCACCTGGGGGGGTACGTTAACTCAGAACCTATATAATATTTGTGTTGTGAATCTGGATTAATAAACTACACGGTTTAAACATTCTCAATGGCTACCTTTGTGTCTCCGGGTGAGTAAAGCACCCTAGAATGTATTCTCAAGACCTGTGTAACATAAAGACACAGGTGAGTAAACTACAACCGGCCTGGGAAGGACCAAGGCATGCACGCCATGGAAGGAACTCAAGGTCTCAATCTGAGGCCAGAGAAAGTGGGTTCTGCAGGCTCGGCAGAGAGTCTGGGCCTCAGGGTCCTGGAACGCACAGAACACACAAGCTCTTGCACCTGTGCACACGCTCACACACTCTGCACACGTGCTCCTATAGGCACGCATACGCACACTGGCCACACACGATCCTGGATCTGTGCACACACATGCTCCTACACCTGTACGTGTACGCTCCTTCCCAGCACACCACACACACGACACTGCACCGTTGCACACACGGAAGGACTGTCAGGAGGGCCAGGCTAGCAGGCTGGCGCTCGTTTACGGAGGACCCAACAAACACGGGGACAACAGACCCAGCTCTTCAGAGTCCTCACCCAGCATTCTTGAGAAAATGGTGGGAGGAGGGCCAGGAGGGGTAAAAGCAGGGAATATTTAGGGAAAACAGTTCTAAGGGTTCCCATCCTCTTCAAACACTCAAGGGAAAAAGCCATGGATAAACGTTCTGTCTCAGCTTAGACCTGCTTCTTCAAACTCCACCTCAACCCTAGAGTCAGCCAGAAAAGCTATTCCTACATGACCATGCCCAGCGTCCACGGCCTGGCACTGCTCCCCAGTGACACCACATCATGGATGGAAGAGGGTCAAACACATATTGCCTCACTGTCCTCAGGCTGACTTTGTTACCTACGTTCCTGGTAAACACACAAGCAAACAAAAGATATTTACAGTCACTCACCTTCCCCCATAAGCAGGCTCTAAGAGTCAGAGCAGATCCATAGACAGCAAGTGTTCAGACTTATTGTGACTTAGAGCATCATAGCTGGAACTGGTGGCTGACAGGGTTGACTTTGTCCCACGGCTCACCTACCTGAAACAGAACACAGGGTATGTGAGTGTGCACGTTCATGACCTTGTCCATTAGGACTGAGGTGCTGCAGAACTGTTTCTTGCATTCGACAGACAAGTAGACATGTCTTAAGCATTCATGTATGAGGCACGTGTGGGATATGGAGATGAAATGCCAAAACTTGTCCTGGGAATACTGCCCAATATGCCCCAAATGAGGCAGCTCTAAACATTTCATAAAGGCTTCCATTTCAAAATGAGAAGTCCAAAAGAATTCTTTTTCGTAGAAGTCTTGCATTTCATAATGAGAAGTCCAAAAGAAGTTTTCTGGTGAAACTATAACAACTTTTGAGAGTGTAAATGAACAGCCAACCTTCTACTGACAATATTTAGTCCCATTCTCTCCCTCTCCCTCCCCCCTCCACTAATTTAAGAATAACAGTCATGAAGTTACATATTGACTCAAATGCACTGCTGGTTTGCCACTCTGGCAGGAAAGGTAACCACGCCATCCATCATACCCCACCCCATGTCTTGGCGCACACTCTCGTCCGGGCTGACCTGCTTTCCATGCTGCCTGGTGTTTTTCCAGAGAGTGTCAGTTTTGCTTGGATCTAAGTTTCCTGATGTTTTACTTCTTGAATTCACATTGGTTGCCCAAACTGGAAATTTAATCCCTAGTCACAGGTACCTGTTTTCATATATTATCCTTTTTACTGTGTTACAATTCTACTCTGTAAGTGTGTATTTATGATCTCCCTGTGAATTATGGTTACAGACACCTTAAAAGGCTTATTTACAACAGCATCCAACACTTGGAATTGTGAGGTCATAGCACCAAAAATAATTAGAAACCTATGTCCAATGTCTTTGCTTTTCACCAAGCCACTCAGGTAACCATTTTAGTCAATAAACCACAGCACTGACTGGCTTTGTCCCAAGCTAAAATGTCTTGTCCGTGTAATACATTGCGATTCAAAGTGAAAATAATTGTAAAACACTAAATTCAAGGAAATTCCGGGAAAGGTACTGTTGAGTAAGACCCTCCATCTTTCATATGGGTAAACAGTGCCTCGGTTGGGATGATAGTCACACACGAGTGCAGGAAAAGGTTGAATGTGTTACTGACTGGAGGTGAATGTGTTACTGACTGGAGGTGAATGTGTTACTGACTGGAGGACCAGAGAGGCCTAAGCTGTTGAGCTGGGTCTTAAGGTCAGTCAGTGGGAATTCATCAGAAAGCCCTGGAAGTATTTTAAAGAGGGATGCCATGACAATTCAATGGGGGAGAGAATAGTCTTTGCAACATATGGTGCTGGGCAAACTGGACACCCACATGCAAAGGGAACCTTACAACACATGCAAACATTAAGTCAAAATGGATGAAGGACCTAGACTTAGGAACTAAGACTATAAACGCTTATAGAAAATATTGGGAAAAATCATTATGACATTGGATTTGGCAATGAGGATTTCATGGATACAACACCAAAAAGCACAGGCAACAACAGCAAAACACATAAAGTAGACTTCATCAAAATTAAGAACTTTTGTGCATCAAAGGGCACTAACAAGAGAGAGAAAATACAACCAGCAGAATAGGAGAAAATACTTGCAAATCATGTATCTGAGAAGGGATTAATATCCAAACCACATAGAGAACTCCTGCAACTCAATAATAAAAAAAAATTTTAAGTGTGCAAAAGATTTGAATACATATTTCTCCAAAGAAGATGGGCAAATGGCTAAAGCACATGAAAAAGATGCTCAACATCATTAGTCGTTAGAACAATGCAAATGAAAACCACAATGAGATACCACTTTGCATCCACTTAGGATGGCAATAACAGTAATAATAGTAGCAACAGTGATATTGAAAATAATTAGAAGGAGGGGAAGAAGACGGGAGAAGAAAAACAGAAAATTACAAGTGTCAGCCAGGATGTGGAGAAACTGGAACCCTCGTACACTGCTGGTAGAAATACAAAATTGCATAGCCACTCTGTTAACACTCTGTTAAACAGTCTCGCAGTTTGTCAAAAAGTTAAACATAGAGTTACCATATGACCTAGCAATTCCACTCCTATGGGTCTACATTTCTACATGAGAAATGAAGACATATGTTCACACAAAAACTTGCACATGAATGTTCATGGCAGCAATATTCATAGCAGCCAACGAGTGGAAACAACCCAAATGCCTATCACTTAATGAAGGGATAGACAAAATGTGGTCTATCCACACAATGGAACATGATTTAGCCACATGAAAAAGGAACGAGCCTTCAAAATGCAATATGGATGAACCTGGGAAACACTGAAGCTGAGTGAGCGAAGCCGGACACAAAAAGCCACACACTGTGTGATCCCATGTAGATGAGATGCCCAGAGAGGCAAGTCCACAGAGACGGAAGTAGACTCATGGCTCCCAGGGCTGAGGAAAGGTGAACGGGGTTAGCGATGCGACTAGTGATGTGCATGGGGCTTCCTTTGGGTCGATGAAATGTCCTAGTCTGTAGTTAGACAGTGGTGACGGCCGCACACCTTTGTGAATATACTAGAAACTGCTAAAATGTATGCTTTAAAAGTGTGGAGTTTATGGTATGTGAATTATACTCAACTTAAAAAAAAACAAAGGCAGGGGACCTGGGTGGCTTAGTCGGTGAAGCGTCTGCCTTTGGCTCAGGTCGGGATCCTGGGGTCCTGGGATCGAGCCCCCACTGGGCTCCCTGCTCGGCGGAGAGCCTGCTTCCCCCTTTCCCTCTCCCTCTGCCCCCCACCCCCGGCTTGTGTGCTCTCTCTCACGCTCTCAAATAAATAAGTAAATAAATAAATAAATAAATAAATAAATAAATAAGTTCTTTAAAAGAAAACAAAGGTAATCAATACTCAAAAGTTAAAAAAAAAAGTAATGAAAGAAACCTCCCATGAAACATGCAGAACTAACGTGTGCTTACCTCCACTCTCACAGAAGGTGCACTTAAATCACACAAAATAAAAAGGCACAAACTCACAAGTACTAAAAGGTCAGGAGAAGAGGAAACAACCAGCATGAGCTGTCAGTACAATACTGGACTCTGAAAAGTGGATGGAAACGTGGTAAATGATTTGGCAAAGCCAGGAAAGCTGAAACCTAAGCCTATAAGGGGAGAGGCCAACAGGAAACCAGCCAATTCTTGCACATCTTCCAGAACGGCTGCAATGGGAAGAGCCGGAGGCAGGTGAGTAAAAACGGGGATAGTAATTAGAATTTTCTGTAAGGCATTTGGCCCCAGAAATCCTCTGGCTTTTTTCTTCCCTGGATAACAGGAGGTTTCGCCTCTGCAGAGGGTGACTCATTCAGGATACAGACTCAATGACAAGTGGTTCTGCAGACAGTGAAATGCCAAAATTAAAACGGGAGGGTAACACGAGAGAAAACAAATGGAACAATGAGCACTCCTGCCCCCCTCTCCCAAGAGGCTCTCAGAATTCTAGCAGGCAGGATTATTATCTCAATAAGTTACATAAAACAGAACAGTAGAGACAGCGGTCTTTGATAGCAACACAATAAAACCAGAAATTAATGAACTTTAACCAAAGGACATTCCATTTGCAATTTATATCATTTTAGAAACATCTAAAGGGAACTAGTTTACTTAAAACATATAGCCCTGATATGTCACTAAACTGGCAGGAAACACGATGAGACCAGAAATCTTTAAAGTGGTGTGACAAACAGACCCATTCATGCAATGACCTACTTCTTCCAACATCACCAGCATGTTTCGGAAGCCGGGGACACCAAGCACTCTGTGGAGTTAAGACATGAGTTATGAGGAGAATCCGAGAGGAAATAACGCCGCTGTTCTCTTTTCAAACACGGTTGGCGTTAGGAAGGGAGGGAGACGGAGATGAAGTCAGGGACATGACTCCTTTCCACCTCCACGGCCTTCCCTCGCTGTACGACCCACTTAGCAACAACAGAAGCAATGGTTTCAACGTCTTGCTGAACAGGCCGCCACAACAAATCAGCTTCAAAGGATGAGTCCCCAGGGACGTCACCGCCCCTTCTGGCACAGTCGAGACAAAAGAAGCCCATTCAGCTGCAAACTACACACGTGCATGCACACTCTCACACACGTGTGCATGGGGCATAAGCAGCACACACTGTTATCTGAGCTCAGTAAAGGGCTGGGGCTTCACCAGAAGGTTTGAAATGTCAGACAACTATGAGGCCAAGTGCTGTCCTACCTGCTATTTTCTGGGCTTCCTCCACGCTCTCCTCTTGCCAGGAGCATGAGTATAGAAGAGGGTGAGGAGAGAGGACGTGGGGGTAGGTGTGGACGACAGACCAGGAACAAGCTCAGGAGGGTGCTTAGGCCCCTGCAAGAATGGGGGCAGGTGAGTCTGTGAAAGACAGAGCTGTGTGGGGGCTTTGAGACAAAAAGACACAAATCAGACAAAAATGATAAATCCTGATATTTTAGTAAAAGCAATCTGGCTCTGGGGTGGAAAACAGACTGAAGGTGAAGAGGTACAGGAGAAAAGCCCGGAGAAAATTTAGGAGCCTAAGCCATAATCCAGACCAGAGATAACGTAACTGTCCATGGGCGGTGAAGAAGAACACAGATGTTATGAGGGCCCATCACCAGGGATTTAGTCTGAGGAGGGAACCCAGGCCGGATCAACACACTGTCCATCTGGGGGGAGATGCCAACATACCTCTCAGAACAGCCCGTACAAGTGTAGTGAAATTGCAATAACGATGCAGAACACGCGAGTGACACCACAGACACGGCACTGTGTGTTCGTGAAACTCTGCACCTGACACTTGGAGGTACACGCTCCCCTAAAGCTCTCAGAGAACAAAACAAAAATTGGCAATGTTCTAACTCACGGTGCAAGTTTCAACAAATTTTGAAGACATGAAATCAACAGACTGTGCTCTCCACCCACTAGGCAATTAAATTAGACATCATTAGCAAAAGGATAACTTTATAATCCCCCTGAACATAACATTCTTAAAAAGCTTCTGAGGGTGTCTGGGTGGCACAGCTGCTTAAGTGTTCGGCTCCTGATTTAGGCTCAGATCGTGATCTCAGGTCGTGAGGTTGAGCCCCTCATGGGGCTCCTTGCTGCGTGTGGAGCTGCTTAAGATTCTCTCTCTTCCTCTCCCTCTGCCCCTCTCCACACTGCTAGTGCGCTCACTCTCGCTCTCTCTCAATAATAATAATAATAATAATAATAATAATAACAAAAGCTTCTAAATAAGAAATGGATGGAATGACATAATGAAATTAGAAAATAACTAGACCAATAAACTTGCAACACACCAAACTTTGTGGCAAGTGGCTACAGTAGAATTTACAGAAAAACTTACAATCTTAAAAGCCTGTATTAGGAATAAAGGGAGGCCAAAAATTAGTGAGTAAAAAAATCCAACTTAAGGATTTAGAAACTATCCACAGAAAGTAAAGAGAAGGTAATAATAAAGAACAGATCAGAAGAAAAGACATGAGCCAATCGAGAAAATGAACAAATATAAAATTTAGTGCTTTAACGAAGGTCTAGAAATACACAGCCCTCTGATGACACTGATAAAGGAAAATGATCAAGAAGGCCCAGATGGTGTTAGTGGCTATAAGGAAGACCAGACACAGTTCCCCCATTCTTCCTGCTAAGCACAACGAGCTGGACGTTAAACATGAAACAAACAAGGGAAAACTTGGGGAAGCAGAGAGAGGCCGACTGGCTAGGGTGCCCAGGATTTGAAGAATGACATAGGAGTGAGCTCACCTCTTTGTTTTGTTTCATCTCATTTCCCTCCTATATATTCCAGATTGGTCACTGGAGAAACCTGCAACCTAAAAATGCTGCAGGACAGAGAAAAACAAGTCTCAAGAAAAGTCTGCTCTCTCTCCAGGCCAAGGACTGGGAACAGGAAGCCTAGGCAGCCAGACGGCTTCTGACAGTGTCTGCCCTCCTGCAGGCAGCGCCCACAGGAAACACACACACACACCCCTACCTGCCCCCACGCGGAGCCTAGCCTCCTACCCCCACCTGGCAGTACACCAAGGCATCCCCCACCCCCTACGCAGGTGTCAGGGAGACTGAGGGAGGGGCCTGGACCTCCACCCCAGTCTGTTGTGAACAAGATGCCCCCACATGGGGTTGGCAGAGGCCTGCTAAGATAGGAGATTTATAGCAGACACAGAATACCACAACTATAACCAAAATTTCCAGGATACAAACAAAAATCACTTTTCGTGCCAAAACCTAGGAAAATCTCAACATGAGCAAGAAAAGAAAATCAACAAAAGCTGAACACTGAGATGACAGGTATGCGTGAGCCCCTGACAAGGATCTTAAAGCAGCCATCGTAAGAACGTGTAGTAAGTATTTAGGAACATGCTTAAAGCACATCTCTAAAAACTCACAAAGAAACAGAAGCTATGAAGAACAACAAACTACCAGAAATCAATCAAAATGAAATTATCAATCTCAATATCCCTATAACCATTAAAGAAATGGAATTTATAATAAAAAGCTATAGAAAAAGAAATCTCCAGGCCCAGATGGTTTCACCAGAGAATTTTAATATTCAAAGAAAATGAACACCAACCTTAGACAATCTTTTAGAGAAAACAGATGGAGAATTCTTCCCAACTCATTTTGTGAGGCCACTATCACTCTGATACCAAAACCAGAGTAATTTGCCTTATGAACATAGACACAAATTAACTAAAACAATTTTTAATTGGCAAAATAAATCCAGCAGTGTATATAGAAGATTTATACACCATGACCAAGTAGGGTTTATCCAGGTGTGCAAAGCTGGCTCCATATTGAAAAATCAATCAATATAGTCCACCATATCTATAAACTAAAGCATAAAAATCATATGATCATATAAATTGATGCATAAAAAGCATTTAATAAAATTCAACACTTATTCGTGATAAAAAATACCAGTGAATTAAGGACACAGGAAAGTTACCACAACTTGATAAACAGCATCTACAAAACCTATAACTAACATCATACCTAGTGGTGACAGGCTGAATGCTTGATCCCACAGCTGGGAACTACGCAAAGCTGTCCACAGTCACCATTCTTAGGACACCGGGAATTCCAGCACTGTCACAGGCAAGAAAAATAAACCAGAGACATACAGACTGGAAAAGAATAAATGAAACTCTATTTGCAGATGATAATAAAACTCCTAGCCCTGATAAATGAGTTCAGAAAGGCAGAATATAAGAGTAATACACAAAAATTAACTGCATTTCTAGATACGAACAGTGAACACACATAAACCAAGATTTAAAACACAGTATCATTTAAAATCATTCAAAATAAAATGAAATACTTATACAGTTAACATATATAGGATCTGTATGCTGAAAACTGTAAAATGCTGATTAAATTTTAAAAATCTAAATAAATGGAGAGACATATCATATCCATGGATTGGAAGACTCAACATAGTAAAAATATCAGTTCTCTCCAAAGTGATCTAAAGGCTCAATGCAATTCCTTTAAAAATCCCAGCAATGTAGGGGTGCCTGGGTGGCTCAGTCCATTAAGCATCTGACTCTTGATTTCAGCTCAGGTCTGGATCTCAGGGTCATGAGTTCAAGCCCTGCTTTGGGCTCCATGCTGGGCATGGAGCCCACTCAAAAAATAAAAATTAAAAAAAATCCCAGTAACATTTTTTTGTAGACATAAATAAGCTTATTCTAAAATCTATATGGAAAGGTGCAGACCCTAGAGTAGCTTTAAAAATCTTGGGGGAAGAAAAAAAAAGAATAAAGCAAAAAGAATCATACAATGCGATAATAAGTCTTACTTTGTAACTATAGTTTTCAAGATAGTATGGACCAATAGAATAGAATAGAATAGAGAACCTAGAAACAAACCCACCCAAATATGCCCAATTGATTTTTGACAGGGTGGAAAAAAAATTCAATGGAGAAAAAGTAGTCTTTTCAACAAATAGTTTTGGGACAATAGGTTAGGCAATAAAATGAACCTTGATCTAGGTCTCACACCTTACACAAACATTAAAACTCAAAATGGATCACAGACTTAGATATAAAACAAGAAACTAAAACTTTTAGAAAAAAAGCACAGGAGAAAAATCTTCAGAATCTAGGGTAAACAGAGTTCTTAGACTTAACACAGAAGGTATAATCTGTGAAAGAAAAAATCAATAGGTTGGACTTAATGAAAATGAAAAACTTTTGCTATGCAAAATCCCCTGTTAAGAGAATGAAAAGGGGCGCCTGGGTGGCTCAGTCGTTAAGCGACTGCCTTCGGCTCAGGTCATGATCCCAGGGTCCTGGGATCTAGTCCCGTATCGGGCTGCCTGCTCAGCAGGAAGCCTGCTTCTCCCTCTCCCAACTCCCCCTGCTTGTGTTCCCTCTCTCGCTATGTCTCTCTCTGTCAAATAAATAAAATCTTTTTTAAAAAAAGAATGAAAAGACAAGCTATAAACTGGTAAAAAATATCTGCAAACCACATATCCAACAAAAGACTAGCATATAGAATATATAAAGCATACTCAAAACTGAACAATAAAATTTTTTCAAAAATCAATTAGAAAACGGCAATACTGGGGCACCTGGGTGGCTCAGTCAGTTAAGTGTCTGACTCTTGATTTCAGCTCAGGTCATAATATCAGGGTCCTGGGATCCAGTCTTAACGCTGGGCTCTGCACTCAATGGGGAGTCTACCTGATGATTCTTGCTTCCTCTCCTTCTGCCCTCCCCCCCCAAAATAAATAAATCTTTAAGGGACGCCTGGGTGGCTCAGTCAAACATCTGACTTCAGCTCAGGTCATGATCCCAAGGTCCTGGGATCCAGTCCTGCATAGGGCTCCTTCCTTGGCGGAGAGCCTGCTTCTCCCTCTACCTGCTGTTACCCCTGCTTGTGCTCTCTCTCTCTTTCTCTCTGACAAATAAATAAATAAAATCTTTAAAAAACATAAATAAATCTTTAAAAAAAGAAAGAAAACGGCAATATAGGCCTACCTCAAGAAGCATGAAGTCTCAAATAAAAAACCTAACCTTGCACCTAAAAGAGTTAGAAAAAGAACAACAAATAAAACAAAACCAGCAGAAGGAAGGAAATAATTAAGATTAGAGCAGAAGTAAATGGTATAGAAACTAAAAATACAGTAAAACAGATCAATGAAACCAAGAGCTGGTTCTTTGAAAAAAATCAATAAAAGTGATAAACCTCTAGCCAGACATACCAAGAAAAAAAGAGAATAGGTTCAAATAAATAAAATCACAAATGAGAGCAGAGAAATAACAACCAACACCACAGAAATAGGAGAATACTATGCAAGACTATATGCCAACAAATTAACAACCTAAAAGAAATGGATAAATTCCTAGTAACATACCAACTACCAAAACTGAAACAGGAAGAAAGAGAAAATTTGAATAGATCAATAACCAGCAAAGAAATTGAATCAATAATCAAAAATCTCCCAACAAGCAAAAGTCCAGGACCAGATGGCTACACAGGTGAACTCTACCAAACATTTAAGGAGGTAATACCTATTCTTCTCAAACTGTTCCAAAAAACAGAAAAGGAAGGAAAACTTCCAAATTCATTCTATGAGGCCAGCATTACCCTGATTCCAAAACCAGACAAAGACTCCACTAAAAGAGAAAACCATAGGCCAATATTCCTGATGAACATGGATGAAAAATTCTCAACAAGAAGTAGCAAATAGAATCCAACAGTTCACTTAAAAAGTCATTCACTGCAATCAAGTGGGATTTTTAAAAAGATATTCTTTATTTATTTGAGAGAGAGAGAGAGAGAGAGCATGAACATGAGAGGGGGGAGGGGTAAAGGGACAAGCAGACTCCCCGCGGAGCAGGGAGCCTGATGCGGGGCTCAGTCCCAGGACCCTGGGACCATGACCTGAGCTGAAGGCAGACGCTTCACCGACTGAGCCACCCAGGCGCCTCTCAAGTGGGATTTATTCCTGTGTTGCCAGGGTGGTTCCGTATTCACAAATCCACCAGTGTGATACAGCACATCAACAAGATGAAGGATAAGGACCATATGGTCACTTCAAGAGACACAGAAACAGCATGTGACAAAGTACAACATCCATTCAGGATAAAAGCCCTCAACAAAGTAGGGATAGAGGGAACATACCTCAACATAATAAAGGCCATATATGAAAACCCCACAGTGAACACCATACTCAATGGGGAAAAACTGAGAGCTTTCCCCCTAAGGAAAGGAACACGGCAGGGACGTCCACTCTCACCACTTCTGTTCAACATAGTACTGGAAGTCCTAGCCTCCGTAATCAGACAGCACAAAGAAATAAAAGGCATCCAGATCAGTAAGGAAGAAGTAAAACATTTTCACTATTTTCAGATGACATGATACGCTATATGGAAAACCTGAATGACGCCACCAAAAAACTGCTAGAACTGATAAACGAGTTCAGTAAAGTGGCAGGATACAAAATCAACATACAGAAATCTATTGCATTTCTATATATCAGTAATGAAGCAGCAAAAAGAGAAATTAAGAAAATAATCCCATTTATAATTGCATCAAAAATAATAAGATACCTAGGAATAACCCTAACCAAAGAGGTGAAAGACCTGTACCCTGAAAACTATAAAATGGTGATGAAATAAATTGAAGAGGCCACAAAGAAATGGAAAGTCATTCCATGCTCATGGATTGGAAGAACAAATAACATTAAAATGTCTATACTATCCAAAGCAATCTCCACATTTAATGCAATCCCTATCAAAATACCAACAGCATTTTTCACAGAACTAGAACAAACAATCCTAAAATTTGTATGGAAACACAAAAGACACTGAATAACCAAAGT